TTTCTGAAGCAGGAGAAGACACTGCTGTTATGGAACCTATTTTGTCTGGTTCCTGTATTGATGAAGTCAACACCATCAGCGTTTACGAACTATCAACCAACTGCCATCATGTGTGATAAAGGACAATAAAGGACAGGATGAGAGCATGGTGTCTATCTGGGTGTCCATGCTGAAAACTGGATGAACTGGAAGACCAACACAGTAACAATATACAAAAAGAGGAAAAAGTATGTTGTGTTTAAATTATTGCATTATCCATGCTGAAGTGTGGGCTTATACTTTGAAATTAAATATCAGATTGACTTGACATTGACATAATACCCCTGTGAGGGTGTTAACTTTTCTATAGATTGCAATCAGCCTGTGGAAACAGGAATTTTCTTTTTTACAGAATTCTGAAGTTATGAAAGACTAACTCAAAAGGGAAAATTCAAAGGGCTTTTACTTTAAAGTCCAAAAGATGACGGCCTAGATATTGATAAGGTACTATTAGAGGGTGTGTCCTGTGGATCTAACGTGTGGAAACAAGACTAGCTAATATTTGTTATTATGAGCTAAATGTGTTAATGCTGAAGCTGAATTCAATCGATGTTGGCTTGTATTTTTAAATCAGATCTTGCTTATAATAATAAGAAATAATCGTATTCTGTAAAAAATGACACATTGGTTAAACAGCTTCAGGACCTGAATAGGTCATTTTGAAATGCTCTGACATCATGTTAATCATGATACATTTGCAGTGTTACACTTAAAAATATTGTGGTGTCTTCAAAGTCTGAAAAGAAAATAATAATTTTCTGTGTTTTTATTAACTTCTTGTTTTCTTTTACATACAACAAAGACATTTTTAAGCACTTAAAACCTTCCACTCAGTGAGGGTCCAGCCCTCAGTGTAACCGTACTACATTAAACTCAGAGTTTTATGTGAGACAGGTGTAGCTGGATGAACTGTACAATTAGTCTCCAACAATAATTTACAAAAACATTATTTGACAGTCACTTTAGGCTAAGGCGGGGATGTTTTTGGTGTCTTGTGTGTCAGCGTGCCACTGGCTCTCAACTAACAGCAACAGGCCACCAGTGTGCTGACCGTGGTGCTGAAACAGAAACTGTGAGTTTACAGTGAGGTCTGAGCTCCTGTGGTTTACAAAGCAACATGCAGAGGTCTTTGAGAGGAACTTAATGAGGAACTTATGGAACTTTGTTTATTTCGGAATCAAAATATGCTTAATAATAAAGCGAAATATATTCTCTTTTTCTTGCCAAATCAGCATTTCTGGCTAAAAATAGACGAGATGTGTTTCTATATTTAGATCACTGTAACACACGATCTTGTCTCACACAGTTTGTGGGATCTACAGTCCCCATCTGCGGTTTATCTCCCGTATATGAATAGGACAGTTTCGGCAGACCACACATTCTGTAATTAGAGGGTTGCATACTGACATACTGTCAATGTCACCTTATAAGCGTACATATGTGGTAAACCTCACGCTCCCTTCTGAGTGTTTTTCAGCATGGGGAAGTACTGTGTGTAGTGGGAGTAAGGGTTGCTAGAAGGGTAGACAAGGAGGAAAGAAAGGAGAGAGAGAGAGAGAGAGGAAGGAAGGAGGGAGAAAAAAGAGAGATTCACGTCATCCTAACACGCAATCATTGGTGGGAGAGGAGGAGGAGAGTCCCTGCACTCTTACTGCAAAGGGTTTCCTGCAGTGCTAGAAAAGGGTTCTTTAGCCCTGCATTCATTCATTTAAATCCAGCCTGTGTGTTTTAGATTTCTCCCTTTTTATAAGAATTTTGATTCATAATCTTTCTATCACTGTATTTTTTCTTTTCTGTTCTGTATGAGAAAGCCTGGAAATAACAATGGAAGAAACAGCATCGCTTAGATTTGGAGCCATGGAAGGTGTAAATAGCTCTCATTGTTTACTTGAAGACCCAAACATGATTAACATGCTACTGTAAAGCAGTTATTATATCATAAACATATTTTAAAAAACATATTTCTGCCTGCATGCATTGTAATACAATTGTATCTTTGCTGAAGTCCCTTGGTGTAAGCTGTAAATTTGATGTTATGTGTGCCACATAAACTGTATACTGAAAATGGATGAAATGTGAATCCAGTGCACAAATGCCTCCAAACTGAATTCTCTCTGACAGCCAGCAGGGGGCAACTCATTTGGTGGAAAAGAAGTCTGGTTGTATGGGGGTCCACAGGAAAATAGCCTCTGGCTCCTTTGCTCTATGTGCTCCTAGTAAAGACTTTTCTGAAGATTTTATGATCTCAGTCACTATTTTCAAGTCTTATTAATAACAACACAATATATATTTGGTAAATTGTGGCCCCCACTGGAAACTAACAGCAGCTTGTGCTACAGTGCAGCTTGGGCCGGCCTACCGTGTGAGTGACAAGCTGCTTTACTGTAACAAAACAGTGTCTTTTGTTTCTCTACTCCTTGATTGTGACATCTGGTTTGAAAAGCTAAGATGGTGAAAACCAAAAATGGTCAGTCAAGTCTTCAAAAACAGCAGGTTGCCAACTCATGGATGACATCATGGTAGCTTTGGGTTTGCCATTTAAGGATTTTTTTTTTTTTTTAAAGTATTTTTCTAAGTTGAGCTAAAAACGGGCATACTTTTCCTTTATTAAAGGGATCCTCAGTTTTTTGACCCTCAATTAAAGCTCCTTAATGAAATATAAAATATATCCTAATTAAGTCTAAATGTGGTTTAAACTCTTGAAACAGACAACAAGAATAAATTAAGAGCTACATATAATTATATAGTAATATGTAATAATAGTGTAATAAGGGTAAGATTAGCCCCAACCTCGACTCACTTCTTTAGATATTTTCCTTCAAAATATCCCGAAGCTACCCTGTTTTTTCTCCCACATTTTAATTATGATTACGAACCGGTATGTAGTGAAAAATACACCAGGACTTTTTGTTTTAAAACACAACGCTATGAATAAAAGGATTCGTGTTTGGGTGCAGTCACACGGCGTTAAACCCGCACAGTGGACCCTTAAAGGAACCCTTTATTTCCCGTGTGTGCTATAGACAGCCGTGAGCGCGCATCTTAACGGTGAGTGGAGCCCCCATTCTCAAATGAGGGCTGCGCACTCCCGCCGCAAGAGGAGTGAACGCGCTCGAGGGGCTGCGGTCCCATTGACTGTTCCGTCTCCCTGACAGCAGCATCAGCGGCGGCGCTGGAAAACAAGAAGTCGCCGCCTCGCCCCGCAGCCAAACAGCCGGCCCCGGCTCACCGAGCGAAGACCTGAGCCGCCTTTGGGGGACCCCCACCCCCCCCGCTCCCCCCTCCTCCTCCACCTCCTCCTCCTCTCTGCCCGGCCTGAAGGAAGGAAAAGAGGTCCTCCTCCCGCGAGTCATCATCCCGAGCGAGCGAGCGAGCGACCGCCGGAGACATGGGCTCCCCGTGAAACGGAGGCGGTGGAGGGGAGAGGCGGGCGGGCGGGCGGTGGGAGGGGGGAGAAGACAGCGGAGCAGCAAGAGGGAGAAGGAGCGGCTAAAACCGGGAACCAAAGCGCCACATCCACCGCTACCACCACCACCACCTCTACTAGCGCCGAGCCCGCTGCCGCTGCCGCCGCCGCCCTGGGTGCCCCCCGCCACCGTCATGGGAACTCCGCATCAGATGCTCCAACCGCCGCTTTGTCCGTGGGCCATGTCGTGATCCGTGGGCTCCGCCAGCGGGTTTTCTATCCGTGATCCCGACCGAGGCTAGGAGGGAAGAGGAGGAGGAAGAGGAGGAGGTGGGAGAGAGGGAAGAGGAAGGGGGGCAAGGTGGTGGTGGTGGTGGCGGCGGCGGCGGGGAAGATGTTTGCCTCGGTGGGCCCTCGGGGCGGCCCGCGCCCACCCGTCGCCCCGGCCATCCCGGAGCCGGACCTCAGTCACCTGACGGAGGACGAGAGGAAGATAATCATGGCTGTGCTGGCTCGGCAGCGGGAGGAAGAGGCGAAAGAGGAGGCCATGTTAAAGTAAGAGAGGGAAAGCAAAAAGATAATGTGTGTGTGTGTGTGTGTGCGTGTGTGTGTGTGTGTGAGAGAGAGAGAGAGAGGAAGACTAGGCCTGGGCAGTTTCCATTCTGAAGTCCATGAAAGTCTGCTCTGTATGGACACAATGTGACAGCTGCAGGACCCGGGCTCCTCTCCACTGTATGTGATCATGTGTGTATGTGTGTGTGTACATCCTGCAGGTCCCTCCACACACTCACTCACAGGCCCACGTAGCCTGCAGCTCTGTGCCGAAAGAACCTCACAGGCTTTAGTCCATGCATGTCCAGTTCACAGATTTGGAATGCTCCTGTGGGGAGGCCCGCTGGATGTAAGGGCTCAGGTGTAACTTGTTAGGGGAGGGAAGAAGAAGAAGGGAAGGGGTGTGTCACCCAGCAGCAGCAGCAGCATCCTCCCAGATGAATCATACACATTTCTCTTCTGCACTTCTTTCCTTGAGATTGTCATCATCACCCAACGCCACTGCCCGAGTCAGGTGAAAAGTATTTGTACTTCCCCTGAAATATTTCAGCAGGAAATTGCAGGAGGCTCAGTGAAGCCTGGCACTGAGAATAGTAAAGCCCTCCCTGTTGGCTTTTATCTGTGCAGCATCCATCTCAACAGCTGCTGTTCTCAGCTCTGGGGTGCGGTTGAGCCTTTCCCAGCCTTATGCACTGTATGTAGGCCAGTGCTCTTGCAGCAGACATCACACAAGCTGTTAAAGAAACAGTGGGCCTCTAGCAGGGAAGGAAAAGGTGCCTGTGTCATGTTATTTTGAATCAAGAGTGACTTACATTGCTGTGTGTATCCTACCTCTTCTCCCCCACATTAAATGGAGAAAAGTCTGCTCCAGTTTGTTGCAGCAATCGGCGCAGGAACGAACCTATATGTTCACCCCCCCTCCACCATCCCCCACACTCCTTACCCCCCACCCCCAGGACCAGAAAATGCATCAAGTTTAAGCGACGCCTTTTCTCATGTTTTCTGCACGTTATGCACGGGAGCCGCACGCATGCATGTGCAAAGAAAGGCAGAACGACCCACCTAAGAGAGGCGCTCCTCAAGCTTTACGTCCCTGTTCTATTTTAAGCCCTCTGTGCAGAACGATGGCCCAGCACTGGAACGGAAGATCGATTCATTGCTTCTAAAGAAGGAAATGTCCAGTATATAGCTGCGGCCCTAAGTGGTTATGCATCATTTTCAGTGATGTATTAAAGAGCTGTGGATTCACTCATGTCATAGTGAGGAAGCTGCGGATAAGGCTGTCAGCACACACATGTCCAAGCCTATATAGGCTTCAGCACTGTTTTCTCTCACCAGTGTTTGGATTGAGTTAGCAAAGCAGTGTGTATGTGTGTGTGTGTTCGTACGATTGGGTCTGCACTGAAAAGCTGCACTGGTTGGTTGACTAATACATGCGTGCTAAGTGTACCAGGAGTAGGGAAGTGTGGGCTGTAATGAACAGAGGCAGAGAATACGCTCCACTTACGAGCTGTTTAAGATATACTCACATCAGTTTACTTTCTATTAATGCGCATATGTTCACAGTGCATGCGTGCAAACCTCACTTTAAAGCCACAGCAATAATGGGCATGATTTGTATTCTGCTTTCAATGATCTGAGGTAGAAAAATGGAAATCGAAAGCAATAATAATTTCAATAATCGATGAGTGGTGTCTCTGGCCACACTCTGGTTTAAATTCAATATAAAGAGATGTCATAATAGTACAAATGTTTGCATTTTATCCAGTGTTAAGCAGAAACTCCATGGCCATTACCCATTAAAACGGGGTTGCTGGTGACCCGTCTAGGTTTAGAGTTATTGTTGGCTTCAAAGCCACATACTGAATTGTACAAAGTCTCATACTTCCATTTTGGTATTACAGTTTTTCTTCTAGAAGCTTTTTCATTTCACTGTTCCATCCATCCATTTTCTCAAACATTGTCCAATTCAGAGTTGCCAGTCCTAGCTGTGATTGGGCAAGACCTGGGATACACTCCTGACAAGTCACCACACAATGGGAGGACTTTGGCTGCTCCAAACAGAAAAAAACATCAACTTAACTCAAATCCTAGAAGCATCGCCTGATGGGTGTACAATGTAGAAGTACTGTATGATAAAGGTTCCTCAAATTGATAACTTATTTTTCTATTTTTATAGAGGGCTCCCATGTGTTACTTGTCTCACCTTGAAGACAAAACACAGAGGAAACACCAGAAGCTCAAATAGATAAAGAATCTTTTGTACTATACATATGTGATATGTGCTCAAATTTGACTGCTGACCTGGTTAGAGTTAGTTAGACAAGCACCTCTTATGGAATTTCTGCTTGTCTGGCATATGTACGCCTTTAACAGAGGAACCGTGCATGTATGAGAATTTATTTGAACTGTAACACCTTCTAGAAACACATCTTCTAGCTTCTGAAGATGTGCTTGTTTAGCCTGTGCCTAAGATACAGCTTAGTAGTTCTAACCGTCATGTAGGCTATGAGGATGCTGAACTTTGCCTTTTGTATGATTGACAAATAAGTTATAGTTTCATATAATATTGAATCTATTACTGTACCAAATATTAGGCTGTGATTTTACGCTAACACAGTGGAATCTTTAACATGAAATATTCAGCCTTGATGCTTGCTATGATGGATTACACAACCCAAGGATGTTTCTCTATGAGTTTAGTACCATGTACAAAGTAAAACAGTACTTTTTTTTAACCCCCTTTTTTTGAAAGAATTGTCATATTATACACCGGGGTAACCCAAGGTTCTCGAAGCTACCTTTACTGTCATTGTATAAGCACTTAAACTGTCAGTAGAAGAGATATCTCGATTCCTGATGTGCCAAAAGTGTCTCATAATGAACGAGCAGGGTACCCACGGTATTGACAATAAAAAGAAACGTCTTCTGTTTTAGACAGCGTGGGTGTTGGCGGGGAATTCTCTCTTGAGTTCCCTCTGTGATCAGACTGATCAGAGCCTGCTGTTCATGTTTATGGATGAGATGGTTTTGAATCACACTGTGGATGTGTCAGTGGACACACTGAAAGCATGTCACTGTTGTCTAAGGCCCGTCATCGATGCCTAGCAGTATCCCGATTGCTCCCAAGATAAAAAGTGTTGATTCGAACCTGTTTCAAGCAGATTTCTGCTAAAACTGAACAAGTAAAATTGAAAAAATAAAATTGAATAAGGGACGGCACGGTGGCACGGTGGCACGGTGGTTAGCACTGTTGCCGCACAGCAAGGAGGTCCTGAGTTCAGTTCCACCATCAGGCCGGGGTCTTTCTGTGTGGAGTTTGCATGTTCTCCCCATGTTTGCGTGGGTTCCCTCTGGGTACTCCGGCTTCCTCCCACCGTCCAAAGACATGCAGTTTGTGGGGATAGGTTAATTGGTTAATCCAAATTGCCCATAGGTGTGAATGTGAACGCAAATTGTTGTCTGCGACAGACTGGCGACCTGTCCAGGGTATACGCCGCCTCTCGCCCTATGACAGCTGGGATAGGCTCCAGAAAAGGATAAGTGGAAGCGGATGGATGAAAATTGAATAAGGACTGAGAAAACAATGCCAGGACACAAAGTTTTATGTAGATAAGAAGATAATTATTGACATTAGAAGCTAGCATGTAATGTACCAAAATGAACCAATATGTAACTGAATTCTGGACTAATTGTCATGCTTAGGTGTTTCAGCTTATAGGAGAGAAACATTAAGACAGGTCTGCCATGCTTTGTCAGACAGCAGGATTCAGGGCAGATGCCTGGTAGAAGTTATAAAGGGATAGATGTGAACTTAACCCTAGCCTTTACCCCAAGGCTGTCACTGGTGACTTGTTCAATGTTAGGAGGACGAAGCACATAAATTAAACAAAATCATAGCAAAACGCTGGACTAACTGCACTTTTCTAACTTTGTGTTTTTCAGAGAAGAAAAGCCTATCCAAGCCAGAACAGTGAACCTGGTTGGACAGAAGAAACCCCCGCAGCAAAACGACGTCCGGTGAGTGCCAACAGCTACTCTTTAACCACCAGGTCAATACCACCCCATCGATGTGGAACTGGCCCTAAGTTGCTAAAAATGCGAGCTAACATTTGCTTTTGCGTCACTTTAGCATCAAGTCGCCTTTCTGGCCTCAATCTCCAATCAAGACGGTGTTTCTCATGTTTGTTGTGAAATTCAGTTTTACACCTCAGATGAATCAGCGGTATTAAAGATAAACACGCACGATGGTGATTATTTTTTGCAAGTGTGACTCAAGCCATTATTATGCAATTTGCATAATACCTTAAGTGGAACAGAAATACACGGCACGTCATTTAGACTTTTATATTTATTTTTTATATTTATTAAACTTTTATTTTAGCATTCTGTCTCTCTAAGACACACAGAAACAGAGCTACTGCTGTCTATCATCTGTCAGGCGGCAACCTACAGAGCTTCCGCTGTAAAGAAGGACATGGTTGGTCTGATGAGTCCAGTCCAGAGCCTGAGTCATTAGAGACTAGCTGATGTTATCTTCCTCCTCCGTAGAGTGGCTGGCTAAAGGCTGGATTCAGATGCTCTGTGTGTCTCACAATTTGCTCGTCTCTTCTGCCAAAACTGCTCGTCTGGAGGAATGACTTCTATCATGCGGTTGTGTGACTTTCGCGTCATCTTCCTCTCACATGTTCGAACAGATTTATGCAACATGAGGCATCATTTTCCTTTAGAAAAAACCCACCTAAGATCCTTAAATCCAAGTTTCAAAAGCAAATGGAATTTATGTTTTGTTTTCTTGCCTTCTAAAATCAGATGCAATGTAACAGTTTTTTTTGATTTTGATGCGGATTTCTGAATTTATACAATCTTTGGCATTTCAAACTTGGTGATGGCAGAAAAAAACTTCAGGTTTTACTAGAAAAACCTGAAGATTGTCAGGGAGAGTATAGTGATTTGATTTTGTCCATATCTCAAATGCTTAGCAATCCTCTCGTTGTTTTAGCTGATATAATCTCTGCTGTCTAGTAACCTATAAGTGTTCAGTCTTTTTTATGGACTTGTCAGCTAGCTGTGATCCCTGTACTCTTCTGTTGAGCTGTGACGTTGAGACCACAAAGCCCTGGGGGTTATGGGAAATGGTGCCTCCTAAAGACTGCTAAAAAGCTGAATTAGCAACAATGTCTCAGCTGAAAGGCTTTATCGTTTTTCTTTAGAATGAATGGAAATGTCAGTGGAGTATCTAAACTAGGTTTTGTTCTAGTCATGTTTACTCACTAGCTTTGTTGCTGGAAGCTGGTGCTGTACACAAACCTTTAGGATGGATGCATGCTTCTGAAGACACATAAAACTGTTTTAGGTAGAGATGAAGAATGAAAAGAAGAAACTGCTATGCTCACCTACTATGTAGCATAGAGAAGGTAAGCACTGTCCCTTAGCTAGCATAATGCAGCTTTCTACCTGGAAAACATTCTCCCTATATACAGTCAAGCTAACTGGCTGTTAGCTGTTTGCTGGCTGCTTGCTAAGTGAAAATGAGATCTCTTCCAGTTAGTTATTTTTTTTCTTTTAACTCTGTTTTATATTTCATTCACTGTAAAAGAGGATACAGCAATCTAATAATACCTTCTTCTATAATAATAAGTCTCTCTTCTCTGTCAAAGGTTAGCATGATCATATATTGCACTAAAGCTAAACTTCAAACCAAAGATCTTTATCACACTTGCACTTTAATTTAGTATTCATAATTATTATAGTAATATATTATTAGTATTCAATCACTTGTAACTACGAATCACTATATTTTTGTTAGCTTAGATTTATAGTTTGCCTCATACTAGATTTATTGGGCTGGTGTCTAGACCCATTTTTTGGGAATTAAGATTTCTGTTTAAGATACATATCTATAGAGATCAGCCTGTATTCTTTACATAATACACCATATGGACAACAGCTTGGGAAACCTACACATTAGTCCTGCAGGAGCCATGGAAACCCATGCCACGAGGCTTCTGGTGCACAGTTTTTATGCTAACCTTAGCACAGGAGGTTTGTACCTGTGCAGGTGTAGGAGCTGATCACTGGTTTCCTTTATGCACTGTGGGCCTTAGCAGTCAGTGACCCCGCTCTGTGATGGTCTGTGAGTTCATGGCTGAGTGGTTGTGGTTCTAAAATGTTTTCACTTTGTAAAAATACCACTTACATCAAGGAATCATCATGGGATCATGGACTCTCTATTATGGGGAAAGAAATTTCACAAACTGACTTGTTGCAGGAATGGTATTCTATTACAGTACCATGCTCGAATTCAGTTTTTTAGATGTTGTCCAATACTTTTGTCTATCTTTTACGTATGCAGTGTCATAGTGTACATTTAAAAGAAAAAACACTTGAACTAGACTGAAGGAATCCAGTGACATGTTACTGTGTGGGACATTTTGCTGACATGGTTTGGGTCCATTTGTCCCCTTAGAGGAGGGATGTCAAACTCATTTTACATCGTGGGCCACATACAGCCCACTTTGATCTCTAGTGGGCTGGATCAGTGAAACTCCCCCTTCCGATAAGTGTAAAGAAGTATAACTACACACTTAATCATAATGTATACTTTATTGATCCCCATTGGGAAATTCCTCTCTGCATTTAGCCCGAGGAGCAGTGTGTAGGGATGGTACCTTGCTTAGCTGTAATCAAACCCCCAACCTTTCGATCATGGGGCCACCACTATACCTACTGAGCTATCCCTGACCCGATACCTGAGACATCTTAATATTATTATACAGAAAAAGTTCTAGTAGTTCATTGGCCAGAATAACCTATTATTATTAAATAGAAACATTTTGTTAATTCACTAAAAATTCATTTTTTCTATGTGGCCCAATTGTAAAAAACAGAAATTTCTATAGCAGATAGTGAAAAACAGGAGCTTTCCTGTCATTTCAGTGTTAAGCTATTACTTAGTTACTTTTGTGTCATACAAATGGTCATGGGGAAGGTCTTTATCAGTAGCAAAAGCTGTTCCACCTTTAAAAATACAGTTAAAAGTCCAAAACGTATGCCCTCTTTCAAAATCTAATCTAGTGGGCCAGATTTGGGGTCTTTGCCGGGCTGATTTTGGCCCCCGGGCCCTATGTTTGATACCCCAGCTTTAGGGGAAAAAGCCACTGCAAATCAAAATAAAGTTTTTTGGGGTGATCACCGTTATCCTATGACAATACGACATTTTTATCCCAATGGAGTGGTCTCCTAGAATAACACTTCACCCATCTATAAGGTATATAGGTCACTGAATGGTTTGATTAATGTCAAAATCATCAGATCTCAACCCAGTGTATAATGATTGGAGATTTTAGACAGACATGTCAAAAGATATGTAAGCTGTCTTCCTGTTCTATAGATATATAACCAGAATACAACTTGAGCCCATTAAGACAGTTGAGTCGAGTCTCCTTGAGTCACACTCATTGGCCAAGGCTCATTCAGACTCGATTCAATATAAGTTTACTCACCCAGCGTTATCTCAGGATGGTGGTGCATTAGATGAGACCTCTTACTCATAGCATTCCCACAGTATTTTGATTTATTTAATAAAATATCAATATTTGGTGTCCCTGTATTGCTGCAGAAATTATTGTGAGATATACAGTAGCGATTGTTTCTTCCACCCCTTGTCAGTACTTTTCAATAGAAATGATATATCGTCAGGCTGAGCTTTCATCTATAGGGTGAAGGTCCTTTTATTCAGTATATCATTAAATGTTTTCATGGCATACCTACAAACAATGCTTATCAGTAAAGTTACTTCTTCCTGCCGTCTTTATTCCAACTTTGGAATAAAGTACTGCAAATTATTTTGTCGTAGTATTTTGTTGGTTTCTTAAGGAAGTGAAAGTCAAAACTCAACATTAACCACTAGAATAATGTTCAGCTTTTCAATAGGCATCCTTTAGTTAAAACAGTACAAAGTTATGAGAAACTGGACACAATCTATTATTAAAAAAGTCAATTATGAGTTTGATCCAGGATTGTATGAAGGAACGTCTGTTTGCTGAGCTTGTGCAGTCTTTTGTTGGCGAATATGATAATAAGGCAATCCAAGTACGCCAGAACCTTGAACCTTGATCATAATACTCGCATCAATCAATTATCTAGGAAACTCCAATGATTCTGTATTGACTAACGTTGCAACTTTCATGTGTAGATTTATTGTGTGAAATATACTTTGGGCTTTAGCGTTGCCAGCAAAGCCTATTTACTTCTACATACTTGTAAATTGAACACTCCAGTTCATTAGCAAGCTTTCCAGCAAACATCCTACTGAGAGTGCAGGTGGTTAGAGGTTAGCTTTCTCCGAAATAACCCTTCCCATCTCATCTCCAATTAGTGGGAATTGGATGCTTGATGGGTTGGTCAGAAACAATTCTTTATAATGGAACTGCTCAGTGATCATCTTTCCAGCGCTGCGTGTGTGTCTGTGTGTGTGTGTTTTAAAGTCTGCTTATTTGATCAGTAGTCGTTAATACAGACCTGAATTGCCAGTGCTGCTTTAAAAACACTCTTTGATGTCATACGAGGACCCCCGTCTTCGTTGGCTTATTTGTGGACTGAAAACCGGGTTTCCATGCATTCCTGTTTGCAGTGACGTCTGCAGCCAGAAATTGTTTTTTTTTCCTGCCACACAATGATCAAAGGATAAAGCTTGTTTATGTGCTATTTGCACTGTATGTGTGTTGGAGTGTGTGTGAGTGTGTCGCTGGATCAGAAAGTGAGGTGAGATTACAGAGTAAGTCAGCTGGAGCACATCTGCTTTTCTGAGGAATCCCACAATATGACCCTCATTTTTAACATTTTACAATCTGCGCTTATCTGGTTAGTGTTCCCCACGCAATTCCTGTGAACACCAGACGTTACAGTCACTTTTCCTTCAGCCTTTCATGGGGCACTGAACGGGGACAGAGACAATATCATGTCTGTAAAGCAACCACTGGAATAACTGCTGAGCTACTATAAGCATACATGTAATT